GAAAATGTAGAAAACCTCGCCTCAAAATGCCCCCGTGAAGCTGCTCGAACGGTCCGTAGACGCTTCCGTCGCAACTCCGCGCGTGTTGCGAGCAGCTTGTGCCCCGACCCTCACGCCACCACTGATCGGCAACAACAACGCTTGAACGAGTGGCGGGCGCACTTCCAACAAGCGGGCGCACAAGGTGCAGAAAGCTTCGATGCCAGGCACTTTGCACGTGTGCGGCGTCGCGTTGAACGTATTCGCTGTGAGTGCGTTGCCCGTGTACCTGCTGACCACCCCTTCACGGCAGAAGAACTCAGTATTCCCTATGAGGCTTTTTGTGTCGACCTGCCTTGGTGGAAAGAAACTGTACTCAATTTTGCGGAGCTGTGCCGATCATTATCCTGTGTGCCATCCATGTGGAAACATGGAATTGTAATCCCACTTGCCAAAGGCATTCCCAGCAACAACTGTGATAATTACCGGCCAATTACCTTGACATGTTGTTTTGCCAAGATTTTGGAAAGGATGATATTGAACAGAATCCATCCCATTGTCGACCCCATACTGGATGACGGCCAAGCCGGATTTCGATGGGGCTCTGACCTCCAAGCGTACGCGCTCCTTGAAACCCTGTCCATGCGTAGGCATACACGCACATACTGTGCATTCATGGACATCCGGAAGGCTTTCGATGTGGCATGGAAAGACGGTGCGATGCTTCGCCTCCATCGTGCCGGCATCCAAAATGGCTTGTGGCATCTGATTGATGATATGGTTTCCGACCGTACAGCTACCGTTCAGGTATCCTCACTTGCATCATGCGCATGGGACGTCGAAAACGGCATTGGCCAAGGATCAGTTTTGAGCGGTTTTCTTTTCAATGTATTAATTAACGGTTTAGCCACTGACATAAAGCGGGCATGCAATGGCGTCACATGTCCAGGCAATGCTGAAGGGGTGCGCGCATGTGTTGTTGTACGCTGATGACTTAGTCATTTTGAGTGACAACCCAGCAGATCTGCAATGTGCCCTGGATGCCGCGCATGCGTGGGCGCGCTCTTGGCGCTGTCATGGCTGTCGTGGGCAGAAGCAAAAATTGCCGTGGACAAGGGAGGCAGCATGTGAATGTGTAAAACCCCAAAAGGAAAACACACTTTGTCACTCAGCCAGGGCTGCACGGATCATCGATTCAATGAAGCGTCTTGCTTCCACTTGCTTCAAATGGCACATGTTTCATGTACCATGTAAAACCTGACATGTGCTCAAGCAAAATCATGCCATGCACAAAGTAATCATGAAAATGGGTTTGCATGTTCTAACACGCCCCCTCAGCTGTGTATGCTTAGCATCTCAGCTGACTGCATGATTATCACCAAAAGTTTGCAACATGTCACATGTGCAACATTCACAAATGAGACTCAAACTAGGCTAAGTTGGACTGTACATGTACAAGACGTGTCAGAGGAGGTCGACGCACGAACTCACATGGCGTAGCCAGCAGCTTCCAGCGCCATCGCCAACAGCGGCCGCGCCAGAAGCCAAAGCCGAGGGTCACCACCAAAGAAGTTCAACGGCCATTTCCAAACATGGCGATGCACACGTCGCCCATGCATTGCTGACATGGCCTCTTTCGCCTGCCGATGGCTTCACGCATGCTCATGCGCCTGCTTGACTTGGCTGATCCACGGAAGCAACGACAAGTCTGCATGTGGAATGCATATCCGGATCCAGTGATCCAGACAGCTTGGTTGAGCTCTGTCTGGGTCAACCTCCTTCGTCCATCAGCACGCGGTTGAACAGGTGGTGGGCCAAGTTGCCCTTCACGACCATTGCCAGCAGGAGTGTTAGTAGCCTGAGTTCCCACATCACGGTTATTGGCATTCTGTACTGCCTCGTGCTCTTGTAGCGGTAGCACTTGAGCTGGAGCAACGGCTGCTTCAGCGGATTGGGGACGAGCTGGAACCACATGTTCACGCATCCAAGCATGCAATCGAGCTTCCACTGCTGCCCACTCTTCACCACTAGGCGCTGCACCTGCAATTGGGCTCATCGTTGAGGTACGGTTTGCGAAAGCCGTAGGCGGAGTAGATGTGGTTGGCGTAGATGGCCGAAACCAAGGGAGTAGCAGCCATAGAGCTCGAAGATGATGAAGCCTGTCCATGACCTGAAGGCACAGCATCAAGTCCAGCGCTGCGCAAGTAGTCCTCAAAGGCGTCGTCATCCAATGCATCATTCACAGGGTCGATGATGCCAATCGTGGTCGAAGTAGCCGCATCCACAGCTGAAGTCGCCCCCTCAGCTGAGGATTGATCATCTCCATAGCCAGGCTCAAGCCCTGAGCGACCACTTCGCCAGCTCAAAGTGATCCGCCATGACGTGCCAAGGACCAAGTAGCCGATGAGGATCAGGATCCAAAGTCCACCGAAGATGATGAGGTAGCCGCCGCCAAAGTTATCCAGCACATAGCCGAAGACGCTCACATAGTGGATAAAGCTGTTGATGAAGTAGTCCACCAAGGCACCGACAACCGCCATGAAGTTGACAAGCATGTCATAGCTCAGGCCACCACGATCATCACCTCCAGGAGCGCATCCTTGAAGTTGAGTAGCCAACACTGCCTGAACAAGTCGCAGCGCCAGCTTGGCTTGGTTTTTCGTGAGCTGCCCATTATCTTGAGCGTCGGCCCCAATAAGGCTTCCGCCTCCATTGACCATGCCCATGATGCCACACAGCGTCCGAAGCCGATTGGCTTTGAGAACCTTTGCGCCAACATCAGCAGGGTTCGTCTCCGTGGGGATGGCCAAGACCTTCAGTTCACGCCTTGCGCACCATTGTTGAATCCACAAGCATGACGTCTGCAAATGCCGAACTCTCCCGACACCTGCTCTCTGAGCAATAGCTCTCGCCACAGAAGAATCAGTACGGGCGATCATGTCAACCTCAAACTCCGTGAGGAAGGTCCAAGCCTTCTTGATGAGGATCGCCTCGGAGACCACCTGAGTGAGAGCCACCAACTCGGCTTCTCCACTTGACAGGGTGACAACCTTCTGGTTCCGAACAAAGCTGTAGACAAGAGCCCTGTTCACATAGACCTGCCCACATGACAAGCTCTTCCTTGTCTCCCTATCATTGGCAAAGTTGCTGTCACTGATGGCCTCAACCAGCGCCGGTCGCTGCTCGCTGCCTGAAGATGCCGAAGAAGAACTCGAACCATCACGAAGAATAGAGATGCCGGGCTGGTTCTTAAGATTGATGCCATAGTCCCGCGTGGAGTGGAGGAACCCGGCCAGGTGTTTCAGAACCTTCAGCGCTCGCTCTGTCGGCTGACTAGCTTTTCCAGCAAGGTACTGGATCACGACTTGAGCATCCGGACGCTCCCCACTAATGTAAAGGAGTTTTCCCACAATCGTCCTGAAAAGCTTTGCCTGTGACGATGACAATGCTTTGCTGTCGTCAACCTGAAAGAGACTGTCGCCACCTCCAGGTCCAGCAGTAGTGCGATGGCGAGGGCAATCCAGAAGGTCATAGATGTCCTGGTAGAAGTGCGCTGCCGGTCTCACGGTGATGGAGTAGTCACCCTCGATGGTATAGCGGCGCTTCAGGAACTCCCATTCATCTCCAACCAAAGAGAAAGGGCCCTCGACCTTGATTGACATACTTTTTCTTCAAGGCGCCGATGACCTCCTGAGTGGGGGCATCGTCTCCCGTGAGCTGCATGTCGTCCACATGCACTTGGGTTGCTTGTCTGGCCTTCAGATTTCTCATCAAAGTTGGGACTTCTGGAAGCCCTTCCATGTGGGTGTCGCTCAAGTCTCCTCGAAGCTGGTTCCACCACACCTGTGCACCTCGACGTTGTCCAGGCAAAACACGGCCAAGCTGCCACCACTCGCCTCCGATCAAAACCACCACGGGCTCATCCTCCGGCTGCTCGACGTTGAGGTAAGCGTCCTTGATATCGCACACCCAGATTGGCGTGCCCCACTCCTGCGCAAGCAGGATCAAATGCCTCGAAAGTGGTGCCACCGATGCAGGCGAAAACGTCTCCTCATCGCCCATCATGCTGGCCCACTTGAACTGCCTGGCAACCAGACGGGCTCGCCTCCACCAGCCCTGCTTCTCACCTCCATGCTTCCATTTGTTCACAAAGGTGACGGTCAACTTCTCGTAGTTGTCCAGGGACATGGTGGGCTTTTTCAACACACCCATCTCCACAAGGCGCTCAGTCTCATATGACTCCGCAGCTTGGTCCAGCACCAACAACTCGTCGGCCCCA